CCATTCCACACAATAACTCTCTTTACTGACACGTTAATTCCTAATGACCTATTCAGTCCCTGTGGGACATGCAGCAGTGGACAGTGTGAAGGGCATGGCTCTGTCAGTCACACTTTCTGCCCATACAAAGTACCCACTTAATTGTCACCAAATGAAAATACGACGATAGTCTAGTTGTTGGGCTACTGAACCGCAATTGATATAGGGGGTGCCCACTACGGATGGGGTCGGCCGATCGCCTCAAAAACAAACGTTTTGTTTTCAGTTTCAGGCGATCGAGTAGGGCGACCGGCTCAATCAGCCGTAGTGGGCACCACGTAATGGATTGCGGGTTCGGAGATTCAAGGGTTTGAGCCCCAACTCGGCCCGACGTCGTGTCCTCGGAGAAAAATATTTTGCACGAATTTCCCCATTTGGCTCCGTCCTAACGGAGATCGACGTTTAACTCGGAGGTCCCTCTTTACAGTGTTGCAATTGTAACCCATATAAACTAAAAATGTGGGTGGTTGGCGGGTGCTCTGGTGTGGTTTGCTTCTTCTTTCCTATGAAATATCTATCGTCCTTATCTCCACTTCTTCATTTTTATGTTTGTTACTCTCTTGTAACACCTCTAATCTTCGGGCGCTCATTGACCTTATGCAGTTGTGAGCGTCGTAAAACCTCTACTAAAACTAAACTAAACTAGAAATGAAAGTCGCATAGTTTTCAAGGATTTTCCACTGCTAGGAGTCAAGGAGAACGGTGACCTTGCGAGCAGTGTGTTGAGGCGCCTTGTCATGATCTGTCCCAGTGGTTTTATGCACCCCGCATAATTTAGCACAATGTGATCTTCTTTTTTCTTCTTAATTTCTGATTATTTTCCTTTATCATTCTTTGTTAAACTTAACCGAATTGTATATTTCACATTTTTAGGCTCAGTTTGCATAATTTCAAGATTTTTCTTTCATAAAACGACGGGGACAGCATGATGGAAGACAACACCTGCTTAGGCAGATCCGATCGTTTGTATGAAAAACCGTCTGGTAATAGTGTTAGCCTTGACTGTTGTGCCAGTGAGATTCGGCCTATTCAAAATCACACCATTGTGATCGAAAAAGTTAAGGGCATCGCTTTCATTTACAAAGCACGTTGGTTGTGTCGAGCTGTCTGGGGTCGTGGGGATCCCAGGTGTCTCCACTCTGCTCTTTGTATTTTCAGTTCTGGATCCCAGGAGTACACGCAGTTCATCATCTGTTCAGATTTTTTTTTCTAGAAACAGCTGTCCCTGTATCCCATGCAATACCCCCGGCGCGGTGCTACTGACTGAAGTGTCTTTAGGCCATTCCCAAAA